GGTATCATGGGCGAAACAATATACTCTGTTATGTCCATGATACTGCTTTTGTCTATAGGGGACGGTTACCACTTTCCATCAGGTGGGCCGTCAGCTTGTTTGCCATTCTAAGTTGTATAAAAAAAAAGTAAAAATATAGTTTGCTTTGTAGGTCCCGGTATAGAATGGACCATCCCTTCCTTTCTCGTGGGTATCGTAAGAAGCGAATAAGGGAGAGCGAGGGATCGGCGTCCCTCTTAAAACATCATCAACTTTTGGCAAAATGCCCCAATGGTAAACTGTCATAAGGAATGGTCCCGTTTCTTAGGAGGCCCATAAAATTAGAGGAGGCCCATAGTTTGAATATAACGTAGTTACTTCATAATCTCAGAGAAGGCCTATGTTCACCAGTGGGCTGATAACGGCTGATGATGGTGAAAAACAGTATATAGTAGATCATATATGTAATGAAATTACAGGCTATAAGGCGTAACTCCTTAAACCTCAGAAATGTCAATGCATGACGGGTGGCATGCGTCTTTGAGTGTATTCTGTAATGTCTTTCTCTGAGTAACCATTTTCTATAAAATTGTTTTTTTTTTTAATGGTTATAAACGGAATGGAAACCGCCTGCGCTATCGGTATACGCTGGCAAGGCACCATTAAAGGATATAGGTGAAGATGAATATAGATTAGTTTTTTTTTTCTATAATGGATGATAATGGAATGGTAACCCCACCCGCGCTATCGGTATACACCGGCGGGGCACCAGTGAAGGATGATAGGTGAGGATGAAGTAGGTCAGTTAGCCCATCGTGACGAATTCAACAAGAAATGTTCACGATGATTTCCAGGGGGAATTACTTGGAGGGTGATCTAATAAGGCCTATTGCTAGCAATGGGGCTGTCAAACTTCATTGCTCATCAACAATCTCTTCCCCCCTCCCCAATATAGATTAGTTAGCGTATCGTGTAATGTGTGGCTGTAGCCCACTCATAGATAAACGATATATCTCCTTTGGAAAACACACTCTATATCTTGAGAAGATAAAAAAAAACATTTAAAAATTCCTATCATTGATAGAAATTAGCAGCGAACTTTTAGAAAGGGCGAGCACAAAAGATTAGGGAAAGGTCGCAGTATCACAGGTGTTACAACCTGAAAAAGTCCGCTTTTCAATAATAATCAAAATAAACAAATAGACGACTTTATCAACAGTTAATCACAATTTTTTTTTTCATGGGCTTACAGTAATTTTAAAGTGAATTATATGTGTATAAAATGTAGCATTATGTTCAGCACATTAGTGTCTAAACTAGGCCTAGCCTGTATCTTAGATTTCCATGAGGTATAGGATATGTTGTTAGTGGTATGGCTTTTAGGTCGCATTACTAACAATCCCCTCCTCCCTCGACAATATTTGTTAGTTCAAATAATGTTATACAAAATTGTACAAACAACGTGTGCGGTCACGTGATCATTTTAAACCACCAAGTCTGACTGGAGCCGTGACAAAAGCTAAATAACTAATTTCGTTCCGAGAGAGTTCCGCGTCGCTTTCTGTGACGCATTGTTTGCTTTGATGCCATTGTTTAATGCCGGTTATGTCCGATTACATGTGCTGCTTATTTAGAATATGCCTATCTCCCGAATTCTCGCTTTCTTCACAGTGACACGTTTAATTAATAACTGGTTTCTACTTAATAACCCTTGATACTGGGTTATAGATAACGCAGTCTGAACTGATGAAAAGGGAATGGTAACCTTGCCTGCGCTATCGGTACACCCTGGTGAGGCACCAGTGAGAGATGATAGGCGAGCATTTCAGGTCAATTAGCCCATAGTGATGAATTAACTACGGTGATTTCCATGGGGACTAACGTGGATCTAGTAGAGGATTTATTGGTAGCAACTGAGCTATCAAACCTCATGAATAATAACTCCTTTCCCCGAAATTGAACTGTTGTGTCAAAAGATAAAGTTCTGCACAGTTATATAAAAATTATTGCACTTGCAAAAAATATATACAGGGAAAATTTTTAAATTTTGTTAGCAAGGGTGGACTTATTTCTGAAAGAGATCTCTTTCAGCCTTAATGCAGCGAGGGAGTAAACGATTAACCGGTAATCTAGTGCCCAAAGTTTGTGTACAGGATAAAAAAAATCTAAATATAATACATAAATAAATCTAAGTAAATAAAGTAAGTCCTTCTCTGTGCAAGCCGTACGGCTATGTAACTCACTACCATCAACTCAAAACTCAGTCATTAATCACCTTAAAGAACCTAATTAAATGCCACTACCAGTTATTATATTTCTCTCTCTCTCGTCTTGTTTTTGTCCTCCGTACCTCATTTGTTTCATTGTTGTGTGTAAAATAATTGTATATATGATTAAATATTATAATATTATATATGTGTAAATAATGTTACAACAGTAAAATGAAAACAATATTTTTGCAAGTTTTATATATTTATTCATTCGAAATAACAATATAAAATTATTTAAAACTTGTACTTACAACTGTATGCATGGGGGAATTAATACTAAAGAACAAAATACACTTAAGACTAAAAAGGTAAACGATGAAAAAAGAAACAATCATTTATAAATTAAATATTTGTACTTGGTATGGCACCAATTATTATAATTTTTCATTATATATATAGGGCATAAATAGCAATACTATTACTATTGTTATTGAATTTAATCAATTAAAATTAGACAAAAAAGTAATTATAAAGGAACAATTAATATGAAAAAAATCCTTATTAGCTTCTTCATTTTATGTAACGTTTAAAAAAAAATGTATGTTGTTTACTAAATGTGCTAAATATAAAAAAAAAAAATCGTATAAAGTGTGGGTCCAAATTTTTGCATTTGCAAATGCAAAACTTTTTGTAATTTACTGAAGTCAAATAATGTTATTTTATACTTGACATATTAAAAAAAAAAAAAACAATTATAGAAATCTTTTTTATCAAAGTATCTAGTATTATGAAACACACAAATAACTAGAATAAAAAGGTCATCGGACTAATCAATTGTGTTCTTTTGGAGTGGGTACATTATGTATCTATATCTCTTTGTCCAATATCAAGCCATGAAACTCATACATTTTCCCCAAAGGAAATCGTAAGAATTTAACACAAACATTTCCTACTAAGTATATAAAAAAAATATTTTTAGTAGGGAATGTTTTAAAATTACTACCATTATGTTCCATAAGGAATATTAATCGGTTTCATTGTTATTATCAAGTTTCAGGTTAGTATACGATTTAATACTGGCCGTGTATAGATAAAGGCAGGCAAAGGAATAAGCTGTTGCAGCCTAGGTGAAACGATTGCGACTTTCGAAGGTGCAAAAAGAGAATTACTAACAATCACGATTTTGGTATTTTTTTAATCCGTTTCTCAAGCTTTGCTTTTTATTATGCAATCTGATAGTTGACTAGACCCCTAACAGAGTGCAATGAAAGCAAATCGTATGGATATTCGGTATTAGAAAGTGACTTGAATTTATTTACTGAACAATCGATCATTTTCGATAGCGTTTTTAAACTAAAAAGTTTGCATAAAACCGATAATAAATTTAACTCAAGAAATACTTTAGATCTTTTTTTAATTTATACAAAACATTCGAAATATTGCATTTCGTGCAATTTGGAATGACAAACAACTTCACGACCTCTTTGTAGTTGGAAGTAACTGTCGCTTATGTGTATCGTGCTTGTCTTTTATTAGGGTAGACAGAAACAATTGAATGCTGAATATTACTATTCAAAGGTTGGGTATGTAATATATACATATATTCATTCCCGTATCCGGTAGTGGGTGTTGGTAGTTTGTTACGGTACTGTACAATATCTAGTAATGTACATACATACAAAATTCGTAAAATTTCCATTTTTCCTGAAGCCTGAACATTAAATAAAAACTGGAATAAATATAACATTCTGTAGTGGATTTTCTCGTATTTGACATTAGCACCATTTTACGCACCTTATGTTATTTACACAGGGTGAGATCGAAATCGTAAACCTCTTATCTGAAAGATTTTGAATCCCCCATACCGACACGACGTGTATAGGTGTGAAGGTAGTATAGGTTAAATTTTTTTTGTTCCTTTTCGGCCCATTTCTGTTTGTAAAACCTTCAGTTTCCCTCAAAACGAACGCTTATGATTTCGATTTCATGCTATAGATATAAATATATAGAAAATTCTAGTCTACATTCTTTTTCAATAATTACTTCTTTTAATAAAACAATAGTTACATGACCGTAACTGGTGGGAATAGACAATCACCATAATACTACTTTTATTGAAAAATCGTTTAAACATGGAAAATATTTTTTTTTTTGTATTTTATAAATATATGAATTATATAAATCCAATTACTGTTTTAGAATTAAACTTTTCGGAATCTAATTATTTTATAATCACAGGGATAAAAAAAATAAAGATAAGGGAAAACTGAAAAAATAATATATCAATAAAATGAAAATTGACAATTCAGATCTCATGAATGTTCCATTTATGATGTATTTTTGGTTAATTTATCATAGAGAATGCAAAGTCATGTGCATAAACCCATATCAATATATCGGATGTTATATTTTTTTTTATAGAATTATTACATTAAATAGAAAGTTATCTTGTAATTTAGTTAGCAATACAAAATAATACTATTCTAAATTATTCAGTGGAGTTACAACGATTGGTAAATGTATATTTTAATAAAGAATTTCATAAAAATTAAAAAGCAGGAAGTTAGAAGTGATGAAAAATTTTTACCCTGATTTGTTTTTTTTTTTATGTGTGAATACGATGCGGGCGAAGGAATCTGCTGTGTACAGCCATAAAATGCAACAGATGCTAAATCTATGTTAGGAAGGTACATAAACCCCTTAATACTTATTGACTACGAAGCGGCGGTGTTAGTGCCTAAGTACGCTTAAAGTTATTAACAATCACAGACTAAAATACGTTGTACTAATTTAGATAAATTTGGATATGTACAAGTTTTTTTTTTTTTTTTTTGCTTACCATTATTATTAATTTTAATAAATTTTCAATTAATTTTCTGTCAGCACTTTTATTTATTTTGGCGGTATTTTTCATAAATAATGTTTTTATTTGGACATTTTTCTTTAACGTTATTACAATATGTACCAAGATAAAAATGTTGATAAAAAAATATTTACAGTAGAGAACTGTAAAAAAATTATTAATCTAAATTAGTACAAACATATTGTTACTATACATTTAGGTAAGTTAACTTAAAATTAACGAAAACGTTAATAAAAAAAAAAAAACAAGCATGACCAGAAAGTAAATTCCTAATAGAAACAATTTATAGGCATAGACAAATAATCATAGCAATTGTTTATGCCTATTTTATTCATGTCAAATTTATGGTCAAGAGAGAAAAGTGTTTATAACTTTTTTGATGTTAACAAACACAATTGTGCGGAGCCCAAGCGATAGTAATGGGGACTAACTGCCCCATTGCTAGTCATTTACCTTATCAGTATTACAATCTCGCGGTGCTTCTTTGTTACCATCATGGGTAATTCCTAGTGAATTAATCACGATTGGTTAATTGACCAGCGTTTCTAGAAGAGCTAAACTAGACGCCAGATACTGCTGTGCCGTTCTATCTGTATATGGTGGCGAAAACGTATCTATTGAGAGATTCGATTACAAGTTGTCTAAAAAGACTGGTGTGGCCGTATTCACTTTTTAGATCATATCCACTTTTCTATCCAGACCTTTTAAACGTCGAACCAAAATATATTGTCTATTTATAGAACGTTATTTAAATAATACAACAACCTCCACCTCCCTGTGATAAATCCACAACCAACTGTAAGGCTCCGCGCAGACGAGGCATAATTTCCACAGACAAAATTTCCCTTTTTATTTATACCACTGAGGTGGCAAACAAACATACGGCCCATCTGATGGTAAGTGGTTACCGTAGCCTATGAACACCTGCAATACCAGAGGTATTATGCGTGCGTTGCCGACCCTGAAGAATCCTCTTTACCATTTATTTAGGGGGGAGAGGCATAGTTCTTAGTAACAAACATGAAATGTTGTCTGCGTTTGCGCTGGCCTTAACTCATGTTACAACTTTCCTCTTGCATTTCTGTTTCTTAAATACTATAAAGTTAAAGCTATGGGTTCGCAGAGGCCGATAATGTTGACTGACGGTGATCAGTCTTGTTGGCGACGTTCTAGTCTCAGTACATTATAAAATGGACTCTATTTAAAACACGTAAGATCGTTTGTGGCGTGTCTCGAGCTTTTTATTGTTGTAATACATTTGTTTTTTATATACTAATTAAAAATGATAAGAGAACTAGAGAATCGTCAAGAAACAACTGTTTCATCCAAAAACACATCTCATTTCAATGTGTAATAACAAAATATTTGAAATTACGATTACTGCGAGATTTTAAATCAACCAAAGTTAGAAAAATCAACTCTATTGTGACTGATTAATTTTTCGAATTTTTTTTTTGACAAAACTATTATTATGTTTAACAAATTATAAAATGTGTACTATTTTTTTTAAATAAAAAAAAAACGTAAAATTGTAGTTAGTGATGCGTTTTGTTCTTACAAAACACTTTACTGACAAACAAAAATTTTTTTACACTAAATTCACAACTTTATGATTTAAAAGAGAAGCTGATCGCGTTTCTTATAAATTGTAAGTAAACTTTACCATAGTTTACATTAAATTTACCATAGTGTATCTAAATAATAGCGTTAATTCTAGTTTCTTATAAACCATAAAACATCCAGTGGAAAGCCTAAATGTTGCATTCACAATTTGATTGAAAGTGATAAATCAGTTTTTTTTTAATAATAAATTTGTAGAATTTATTTAAGAAGATATAAAAAAGACGGCACTTTTTTCACAATGTACTAAATACTCTAATAACGAAATACTTTTAAGGTTAACGCACATTAAATGAATATATAAAAAATGGACGCCATTTTTACACATTCAATATACAAAATTATATTAGTGCAAAATTACCTATTTGTGTAATTCATTGTGCGTCCGCCCTAAAACTTCTAAGTTGCCATGGTGTGAATCTATTCTATTAATATTTGCTTTGAAATCGTCTAACGGGGATTTGGACAGATTAGGCACAGGCGTTAGTGTTTCGGTAGAGCCTTCTTTGTCTAGATTTAACCTTTCTGTGTTTATGAATTCGTCGTGGGAACCGTTGACGTGCGATTTCGTTTTGATGTCCGGGTAGGACAGGTCGAAGTTCGAGATAGACTTGATTTTGTCGGACTTCTCGAGGCCGGACGCATGCGATACAGATGTTGTCATCCGTTCGTTATCTGCAGATAGAGAATTATTCTTAATATCTAACTCTTTAGAAAATCATCTCAAATCGTTGTCACCAATTGTGAATTAATTTTTTTTTATACAACTTAGAATGGCAAACAAGCTGACGGCCCACCTGATGGAAAGTGGTAATCGTCGCTTATATACAACTTAACCTGAGTCCTTAGGGTTGCCAACCCTAAGGACTCAGGTGTTATTCCTCTATACCCTGTAAATTCACTGCCATATCTCACCCTTCAAACTGAAACACATTTGGGCAAACACAACTGCTTCACGGTAGAAACACGAATGGAACAGAGGTACCCATGCAAACGACTTTTGTACAAAGTCTCCCTCTGGTACATTTATTTATTATTTTAGTTATATAATTATTTTTCACAATTGGTAACCTTTATTAAATAGGAATGAGGATTATAGTCAACATTGCTATATTTTTTAATAGAAGAAAATGGAACGGTCACTCCACCTGCGCTATCGGTATACGCTGGCAGTTCACCAGTGAGCCATGATAGATGAGGATGAAAGTAGGTCATTTAGCTTATCGTGATGAATTCCACAAGAATTAACCACGACGGTTTCCAAGGAAAAGCGCATGGAGGTCAACTAGATAGAATGTAACAAATACAAACTGCGTGAAATAGGAGATTGTTAGTAATGGGAACTAATATCTCCATTGCTAGCGATCTGTCAGGTTCATACAGTCCGTACTGACGCGGTTCAACTGACGCGGCTTCATCCTCGCCTATCATCCGTTAACGCCCGCCAGCGTAAACCGATAGCGTAGACATGCTATTCGATTTTCATTTATATAAAGAAAACTGTAGTTGATTGTTTACATTTACATACCGTTCGCATTCTTGTTAGGAGACGGCGTATCCGTTGCATTCTGATCATCCTTGTGATCTTTCGGTAGGGATGACGCCCTCTCACTGCTGGGGGACAGCATACCCAACACTCTATGAAATTATATTTAAATTTTAGAGACAATAATGCTGAATTCATATTCTAACCATTAGAAAAATACGTTTTCATTATTTGAGTCACCCATCACTTCCGACACACGTGACGAAAACATATTTTGGTATTTTATCTTTTGTTTTATATTAAAAAAAAAAAATGTAATTAATTGGATTGTATGAGTTCATTTGTTAATCTACGTATCACAAATGGCTCAAAGTACTTAGCTATCTATCTATTCATCATCATCGTCATCATATCAGCCATTATTTGGGCATTGTTGAATATAGGCTCCCCCATCGCTCTCGAGCCACTTTTACTTCATCCACTTCCATATCTTATCTCACACATTTCTGCTGATTTTCACCATCGTACAACCCGCCATAAACTAAAATTTCATCCCAACCATCTGGACGAGTGGCGGTCCTCCATCGTGCATTTTTCAAGGCACTTTCTCCCACGCACAACCACTCTTTGGAATCAACTTCCAGCAGCAATATTTCCGAACCGATACGACAACATAACCTTCAAGAAAAGAGCATATTCCCTTTTAAAAGGCCGGCAGCACACCTGCAATGCCGCTGGTGTTGTGGGTGATCATGGGCGGCGGTAGTCACTTACCATCAGGTGAGACGCATGCTCGTTTGCCCCGTGTTGTAAAAAAAAACATTCTCCCTCAGACTGAGTTGTCGAGGTAAAATTTTGCAACATATTTTGTTTGCGATTTGGAATGGCAAACAATGTGATGAGCCATCTATGAATATTACATTACGGTGATATTCTTTGTTCGTTACCATTTCTAAACAGCCAGTTATTGTGTTTACATACAAATATTTTACCCTGCAAACCAAAGTAGAATTGCTGTTTCGCGGCAAAAACACTAGTGGAATTGATGTAGTGATGCAAACGACTCTTGTATAGCCTTTTTTATCATCATCAGCCTTTAACTGTCTTCAAGCCTTCCCCGTAAGGGGAGTTTTCTCAGTAGTTGCCACGCTTGGCAGATAGGTTGGCAACCGCAATTAAGCTTTTAGAGTTATTTTAATAAAGACGCTGCTGCCCATCCCTTAGTCGTCTCTTACAACACCCACGGGAAAGGAAGAGTTGGCCCATTCTATGTCAGGACCGACACGATGAGTCTTTTTATATACTAATAAAATGAATATTTAGGATACCTGGAGTTTCCAAGGTCACCGAATGGTGTGGAGGGGTGCGAGGCGTGAGGCGAGTACGGCGCGTCGGCCGCGGGCGCCGCCCAGCCCTCCGCCACCAGCGTCGCTCCTATGTCCACTTCGCCCTCTGTACCAACGTACGGCCGAAATTAGTTTTAAGCAATTTAAAAAAAAAAAACAGTCGTCTATCCTCTCTGAATACCATAATGGTTAATTGTCGATGAATTCATCATGATGGACCAACTGACCTGCATTTTCATCCTCACCTATCTACTCTAACTGGTACCTCTGTTAGCATAGGCGGAGTTATCATTCATTAAAAAAAATTTTAGTTCTCAGGAATGGCAACGCATGATAGTTATCATGGCCGACACAGTATACTCTGTTATGTCCATGGTATTGTTCATATCTATAGGAGACGGTTACCACTTTCCATCAGGTTAGACATCAGCTTGTTTACCACTCTAAGTTGCATTAAAAAAATACCACAAAGCCAATTATAATAAACTTATATTATTAATAAACTCGGTAGCTCTGTTATTTACCTTCGGTGACGTCAAACAACTTGATGCCAGGTATTTCCTTCTCTTTCTCGCCTTCGGCTGTAACCGTTTTCTTGTATATGCACGTGCGAGATACGAGAGGCTTCCATCTTGCTACCTATTAAAATTATATTAATGGTCACAAATAGTCATTATCACTTTATGGAGTCCTCTAAATAGTGTAATAAATACAACTGAATATAGAGAGCGCCATCTAGTTCCCAACTAAGCAAAGCTTGTAATATGAAATTCCAATTATCTTATTCAAATAGACTTGTTGTAGAAATGACGATTTAAAAGTGTTTGTAACAGTTTTAAATTGTGTTAATACTAGTTTTTTCTTTTTTCACATTTTAGTAAGAATATAGGTGCAAATTGAAAATCAGCGCTGAACGAACATCAAAAGCCGAGTCCAGCAAAAGCCGAGTTTGTACCTATTGCCAGGCATACGAATACTGCACTGTATTTATTAATTAATATATGTACATTATAATTTCTGTATGTTTGTAAAGAATAGAAATAAGTTTATTATTTATTTATTTATAAGGGCTTGTGAGGTTAACAATGTTTTTTATTACTCAGTTGGAACATTATATTGACACAGTTCTTGCTGATAACCAGAGTTTGTTTGTTGTGAAACGAAAGTTTATCTTCCGTTTGCGCAGGCGAAGTTACGTGAAATAGCTAGTAAAGTATAAACTAATAAATAGGAGGGCACACCTGTGTAAGTTCTTCAAATCGCTCAACGGCTTGCGGGTGCCACCTTGAACCGCTCGTCGCCCCGCTCGCCGCCTCGCTCGACACCGGCTGTACGCCCGCTAGGAAGCACTCCATTGCCTGACGATTACATATTGTTTTAGTCATTGGTGAATTTAAGATTATTTTCCAGAGTAGACATGGATACTATTACAAAGGTGTACATTATCAGACATGCTAGAAAATATAGATAAGTTTTTTCAGTATAGTCTCTTTAGAGACTATACTGAAAACTGTCTACTATATATTTTAATATATAATAAATTCCCGAAAGCATTTAAGGAAATAGACAGTTTAAATGTATTTAAGAAAAAAGCAAAAGAATATTTGACAGCCATACGTTACATGACTATTACATTAATTTAATTATTTTTATTGACATTTTTTACATTTTATTATTATTATTGACACTGTTTTTATTGTTATAAGTTATTATTACTTTAATTTTATATTGTACATGCCGATATGGTAGAATGTGGAATAATGGACACGTAATTATTATTTTCATCTAATGTATGTACCCATATTCGTGCAATAAATGATTTGAATTTGAATTTGAAATTTAGAAAACTCCTTTCCACTCAGGGTTTGCTGAAAGAGAACTATTACACAGTTAAGCTCGCCTGTTGTATACCTTTATTTAATATAATATAAATTATATGATTGTAATTTTTTGTGTACAATAAAGTATAAATAAATAAATAAAAGCTCAACTTGTATCCTGGGATGGGCACCAGACAATTCTAGGAAGGGCATGGTACACTCTGCCCCTCTTAAATATGTCTATGGATTTAGTGAATATTTACATTCATATTTTAATTCATATTTACCAAAAGACTTATGGGTATCTCTATTTTATCTACATTTATCCTGTAAGCTGCTATAGTGCATGATTGTGTCAGTTTTAGTATATGGCAATAAAAACCATAGTTCTCGGAAATGGCAACATATGAGGGGTACCATGAGCTAGTGCACTAATCAGTGTCTGTGTTATTCATGGTGTTGTTTACGTCTATAGGCTATGGTCATCACTTTCCATCAGGTACATCGACAGTTTGTTTGCCATTAAAAAAATATTAAAAAGATAGTGCAAAAATAAACTAAAAACAAGTCTTATAAAAAACTTGTAATTCTATTCTTCAAGCCTTTTCATTGGATACCATATTAAGAAACTTGAAAGATAAAAAACATGATCCGCCATTTTGTAATGACGGCCATTTTGAAAATATTAGTGTTGATTACTGTATTGTATTGTCACCAGAATTAAATCTGTAGGTAAAATTTCAGCATATTCCATTGAAAGTTAAACAAAATCTTGTAGTAAAATTAAACCGTTTGACTTCTCTTATTAAAAATTTATTCATAACATGATTAGTCGAAGTCTCCCTTGGTACTTACACCCTAAAAATAAATCATTAATCATTTATAATTAGTACCTGGAATCGCAGCCGCAACAAGTCAGCACGCAATTCGCACAGTTCGTGCGTCGCTACGTACTCGCTGTCACCATAATCAACGTAGAACACGTCTGCTACCTGCAATATATATATATTTGATGAACAGACCATCAACAAGGCATGAATATATGTAATGAGACATCAATGACAAATATATGTGCTGTAAGGGAATAATGAAACATTAATAACAAATGACAAATCATCAATTTTAAAATTGTATTAGAAAGAAAGAAAGAAATAATTTAATCGAAGAAGCATGCGGCCCACAAAGTAGCGCACAAATCAAGAACAAAATAAACCAAAACAAAACAAACAAACAAAATTGTATACAGAATGATTATGTTATTGTATACAGAAATATGAAAGCAATTAAATTAAATTCAGTTCAACTAAAGTCTAAATTAAAAAGAAATAATATTAATGTGCGAACAGGAATAACGAATTGCTAATGACAATATGTATTTGTGAACATGAATAAGGCTCCGTGAACGATGAAGGGGGCCATAAGGTACTGCTACTTTACCTGTTGCGAGGCATCGAACTCGTTGGGCCGCAGGTCATGGACGCGAGCGCGGTACCACCGACCGTCGTGTCGGAACACAGCCGCCACCACCTGCCCCACGCTCACCGACGACACCTGTCCAACGAGCCATGCACGTCATTATTCAGTCATTTTATGAAGTCAGAAAAATATTGATTATTGACTACCTATTGTGAACTTTTTTAATGATAATTGTACAAATTGATTCCCAAAATAAATAATTCTGAGATCATAAATTTTTACATTTTTGCAGTTGTCTTTACAGTTAATATACGTATTTCACAGATTCGTACAATCAGCCAGTCTACCATGAAATGAAATTCCGAAATTTCGGACTCAATTTCGTGTTTTTGTTTATACCAAAATCGGACCAATAAATGGAATGTAACATTTCGTTCGTCATACATCCTATCATAAAAGTCCAAAGGAACAGTATGTTAACATTTTTAATATTTCCAAACGGTATGTATTATGTAATTTTAACATCAAATTTCTGTTTTGTTTGGCTCCGAAATTTCGGAAAACATTTCATGGTAGGCCCTCAGATCATAACATGTTTATACCAGAGGGAGACTGTACAAAAGTCGTTTGCTTGGGCATTTCTGCCCCATTCGTATTTCTACCATGAAGCAGTTGTGTTCGCATGTTTCGGTTTGAAGGGCGGGCTATAGCAGTGAATTTACAAGGTACAGAGGAATAACACCTGAGTCCTCAGGAATGGCAATGCATAGGGGGTATTCATGAGCGAAATAGTATACTCTCTTATGTCCATGATACTGCTCATGTCTATATATCATGTCGGTTTGTTTACCATTCTAAGTTACATAAAAGAAAAAAACTCAGTAAACAATGTGACTGCACATGGGAGTTATTTAATAACACCAATAGATACCGAAACAATATTTTTTCAAAATCTGTCTGTATGTTTGTTCTGGCATCACGCAAAAATACTACAGCAAAATACATGTGATTTCACAGTTGTATTCTGTCCAATCTAGAATTGGGTTTTATTCTAAAATCTAGTACAAAGTAGCAGGCAAAAAGCTAGTCTATACATAAAAACGTGTATTGCACTAATTTGTCTCTGGATCTGCTATGGCAAATTGTATATAAGGCACCAGCAGCCATTGAGTGCTTTATCACCCGCTGAGAATCTATATTGGGTATCACCTAATACCCAATACGGTGATGATGTACACTAACCGCGTGCGCCGCACGATTATCCTTATTGCCGTAGTATTCTGTCATGTGTGCGACGAGTTCGTCCAATTGGGACACTTGCGGCCCGACGAACTGCACCCAGAACCGCGACGGCGACGACACCGCCGACACGTACACCTCTATCGATGCGCCGCCCGCTTCTGTCATTGTGGAATGTACACAGTGAGATGAAGAAATTGGAGCGTGTTATTTATCGTTCAATCTTAATATGGTTACAGTCTTAAAGCAATTCTAGTCAGAAAATAGAACGATAGAGTATCTAACCTTATGTAAAATGATTCACGTAGGTTGTAAAAAATTCTTTGATACATACAGGGTTTCTTTTTGAATAGGAGTCAATGGGACGATCATTGCAAATTGCCTATCGTAATTAATATATCAGGAATGAATTAAAAATTTTCAGGCAATACTGCGTGGAAGTAGACTGACTGGGTATTATATTGCTAACAATTAGGTTAGCTTATTTCAATTATTAATAATCCCCCCCTCCCCCTCTCTTTATTTTTCTTTGGTGTATTGTGCTTTTTCCCTTGTCATTCTTATAACAAGAAGTGGTGACATCTTGTAGCCTTTACACTGTATTTATGAAACAACTTAAAAATTATAAATAAACCTAATACCCAATACTGGGGGAAAGGGATTGTTAGTAATGGAGACTGAGAATCCCATTGCTAGCAATATACCCAACCAGGTCGACCTCTTCGCGGTTCCTCCTGGAAACTATCATGATTAATTCTAGATGAATTCATAATGATGGGCTAACTGACCTGTTTTCATTCTCATCTATCACCCTTCACTGGTGTTCCACCAGCGTATCCCGTTAGCGCAGGCGGGGTTACCACACTATTTTCACCCATCAAAAAAAATACCCAATACTACCTTCACCAATTTCCCACATTCTAATAGACGCACACTTTGGACATATAATACATACACACATAAATACATACATATACATACGCACACAACACTCAAAACAACAGATATTAATAAACACTAATATAAAATATACCACACATATTACCACAGCGGCACACCAGTTGTAAATGAAATGACAAATGGATTTTTGTGTTACCTGATAACATTTATATTTATTACAGAAAATAAAGTTCAAATTTTATTTAATTACTAATTAATTTTTCCCGTGTAGTCCCGTGTGGTCACCCCTTCCTCTCCCGTGGGTGTCGTAAGAGGTGACTAAGGGAACTTAATAGTCGAGGGATAGACAGTAGCATCCCTCTTTAAATCTTACCAAAGTCTAACGGCAGTTGCCAATCTTCCTGCCAAGCGTGGCAACTAGAGGCGAAACCCCCCCTAGGGAGAGGTTTATGTTCAGCAGTGGTAAGTTAAAAGCTGATATGATGATGACGAATTAAAATCCGATTTTACTGAATAAATGAACTCTGATTTTTTTTTTAATAAAAGATTAAACAATAATCAAAGTATGAATTGTATGTAATTCTACACAACTTATTTATAGAATTGATTGAATACGAAATACCCATGAGGCGAATGATGCAAAAGCTTTTACGATCACTTCATACAGATTAAATTAAAATGCCAATGCAAGGGGTCGTGAAGCCTACCGGTGTATACTTTGAACCAATCACCTACTGAATAATCCAATTATTTTTAATATAAAATTCACTAGGTCTGAAACTGAATTTAAATTTTTTTTAAATTTCATACTTTCTAATCTATAACGAATTATAGATGTCTATATACAGTTATTAATACATTAGAGGTAAAGACACAGAAAAAAAAATCATTTAAAATGTTATAAAACTTATCTGAATCTTCAACATTTATTCCTAATATTAAAACAAACTTTAGTGCATTACTAATAGGTTGAAAATGCTTTACCGATGACTCGATCATATAGTATTCGAATCCACATCCATCATATAATTGTCTGGTCTTTAACATAATATTTCATTGTATATTTTATAATATCTAATGAAAACTTTCATTTTAACAAGTACATTTTCTTCGAAAAAAAAAAACAAAAAAACTCACTAAACATTGCAAAATCAGTTATTTTGAATTAAAAACTAAACTACCATGTACCATTTCGATAATATTTCAATTGGACTAATTTGAAAGTTTATTTTCACTAGATAGTATAAAACAAAGTCGCTGTCGTTGTCTGTCCGTGTTTCTCTGCATAATATTGCAGAGAAACACTGATAAATTTAGAGGTTTCTAATGTGATGTTGTAAATAAGCACATTTTTTGCACTTACATTGCAAACGCTGGCCCATTGAATCCAACGAGATAAATCAAAATAATACAGTATTGTACACCTTAAAAAGGTCAACAAAAAAGTCCGCGATGGTGTATGTCTACAATAACCATTTTTTATCGTTTACATTTTACGGGAAAAAAAAGGCTTATTTACGAAGTGACTTTAAGCAATACACCATTAATTTTTATCCAATTAAGTACGTTTATTACATTGTCCATTTAATATAGATCAATATGTCCCTTTACAGCATGTAATTTAAATGATTATTTCCGAAGATATTACAGATTTAAAATGCAGGGACATAGCGGTGCGGCATTGCACCCGTGCGAAGCCGAGGCAGGTCGCTAGTTTTAAATAAAAAAAGAATTCTTCGATTTGATTTATAAATGGCAAAGTTATGAGGTAACAAACAAACAAACAAAAAACAATATAACTGATTCGAAAACATTTTTTAAGTCGATTGTAAATGAAGAATAACGCTTCACAATCGACTATAATGTGTAACAATTTCAATAATCACCTTAATATATTAATCTCTATTATTGGTTGCCGATGTGTTAATTATAACTGCTTAAAACTATTGAACGGCACTGTTATACAATTTAAGGAAATATATAAATACAAGGGAACTGCACAATATGTTATATGGGTGTAGCATGTGTGAGAAAAACTTACTTTACGATTTGTTGCTGCTTAAGACTAGAATTTTCTTCATAAATATATTATATTTATGTAACACCGAGTGGCAACCTTGATCTAAACAAATGTTTGTCACATTGTTAACATAGTACTGGTACATTGTCGTGAATTGTTATACTGCGAATTCACAATGGGAATAATCTCACTATGGGTAGTCAGAATCATAGTATATATTATCTATTGTCATGTCAAGATATTATTATATAAATTTATTATATTAATATAAATTTATTTTTATTTACCAATAAATAAAAATAATTCTTTTATATTCCAGATAAGTGGCATACGAGTTAATTTCTAGCGTGCAGAAAGAATAAATCAACGAAATTTGCTATCTCGTCCTGTCGCGACATTACATTCTTATTAAAGGCCCCCACTTTATTAAAGACATAACCCTTTATTCATAAAAAAGTATAATTACGTTTTGCCTATAACGTATAATATTATTATAATATATATATTTTTACGTATAAAAACGTATTGCCTCCTATAAACCAATTTTAGCTATTGCACTGTTTTATCTCTTTCTTTTGCCCTCAATTCCAAATTTGAGAGAAAGAGACAACAGTGTATTAGTTAAAATAGGTTTTTAGATTTTAGTTTTTATGAATAAGGGGAATGTTGGGGGCTATTGAGTAGTGGCTATCGGTTACTGTGTGTAGCAAATGTGCATGCTGTTAGTAGGTCTTACCAGGCTTTTTATATTTGATATGCTTGTGTGCGGCGTCACCTGGCAACTCGTCGCGGTCGGCCGCCTCGCTCGGCGGCGGCTGCGCGAGCCGTGGCCCTCGTTTAGACTGCTCGATCTCGCGTCTACACTTCTCCTGGGCCACCTTGAAAAACCCATAAAATACAGGGTGAAAGCGTTTGGGATGCAAATAAGAGAGTGTGCAATCAATGAAGCTGATTATTTTTACCAAAAGCACGAAAATATTTTGAGCCTCACACGAATGAACACAGGGCGTGTAACTGATGATTTAGTATGAGTTTGTAAAAATGTTATCGCATTTTTTTAACAGATTTCAAAAAAGGAGGTTCATAAATCGGTTGTATATTTTAGTGCGCCTTTTGTATCAAAGTTTTTTGTGATGTAGTCAGTAAATAATAAATCGTCATCATATTAGCTTTTAACTGTCCACTGTTGAACATAAGCCTCCCCCATGGGGGGAAAAGGGATTGTTAGTAATGGAGACTAAAAATCATATTGCTAGCAATATACCTAAACCAGGTCGACCTCCACGCGGTTCCCCCTGGAAACTGTCATGATTATCATGATAGGCTAACTGGTCTGTTGTCATTCTCATCGATCACCCTTCACTGGTGCTCCACCAGCGTATCCCGTTAGCGCAGGCGGGGTTACCATACCATTTTCATCCAACAAAAAAAAAAGCTTTATCACTGTCCTTGTAATATAAAAAGAAAAAAATAACATTCTTACACAGTTCTCAACGAGTCCTTTGGCAGTTTGGATCTGCTCCTTAGTGCCCCGGAAGGAGATCAGCCGCTGGGTACTCTTGTCCCCTGAGCCTTCTACCTTGATCCGCGCTCCGCTACGGTGACTAATGTCGTTTATGTTCTCGCCTCCCATGCCTAAACAATGTGTACTAGATAGATAGATAGATAGTACGTTATAAAGCATTAAGATAAGCATAAGCATTTTATGGGCGACTCGTGTAACTTTTTTGTGTACAGATGAAGTATATACTAATTTGTCATATAAATTATAAGCCATTTACTTTTAAACCGATTCATAAAAGTATAAAATATTAACAGATTTTTTATTTTTTAATCAAAAAGATATATCTATACTAATAATAAAAAGATTTTATTTTCTGTGTGTTTGTTTGTAATGGACAAACTCAAAAACTACTAAATTGATTTTAAAAATTCTTTTACTTCGTTTAGTTTCGTTTTGCATCCCGTTCTCGCTATTGAATACTGGTGACGGGACAGCTTTATGATGAGCGCACTGAGTTTATTGGGTCGCAATACTTCTTGTTTGCAAACATGTTTGTCTAAATCGCAATCAAATCTTCAAGTATTAAAGTAACCTACAAACGGTACTTACCAATGATCCTCCCGCAGGCCCATCCTGGGACCTCTATTGAATCCTCAACTATGATTGGCTGCTGCTTTATGAAGTCGTGTATCATGGTCTCGGCGAGCTGGGTCGCCGTACTACGACCCCTGATGATGCACACGTCATAATCCTTGTCACTGAACTGCTTGAAGTGGATCAATGCACCTGAACGCTTCTCCAGTTCCTTGATATTGGAGCCGCCGCGGCCTGGAAGTGTAAAATGGGATATAAACATAAGACAATAGGGTCCAATATAAATAAATAAGACAATAGGGTCCCGAAGTGTTATTTTTTAATTTCATAATCTAGAGAAAGTATTGTTAAAGACTAGTGAGAACCAAATATGAAGTAGTTTTGTTTTAAATATTATGTTATATTGTTAATTTAGTTCACACTGGTTTACAGAATAATTGACGAAGTATATTGCCATTAGTAGTTTACTATCTCTAGTCTACAATCTCTATTGGGCAGGGGAGATGCTTCCTGCCTTTACTTCAACCTGGCTACGATTGTCTATTAGGTGACTTACTTAGTAGAAACCTTTAATAGGCATGTGCATTAATATTGTATTGTACTCATATTTAATGTTTGTTAAATATTCCTATAAATAAATAAATAAAAAAATAATGAAATAAGTGATATTATTCATAACAAACAAGCTGACATGTATGACGTCATCGATAGAGGCAAAAGAATTTGATAATGAGGCAAAAGAATCAGAGTATTTGGCTTTTTAGACAGATCTAACATGTAAGTTAGTATTTCACACATCAAACTCTCTTAAACATAACAAGTATTATTTTAAATTAATTTTACATACATATTATTTTAGCAAGTTAAGTATTTTTATTCAGTTTTAATTTGCTAACAGTTAATGCCTAAATAGTGACATACAAAAGCCTTGGCGACAGCCTTGTTTTTCAGAAATAGGACAATATTGAGATGTTAACAATGATATAGAATTTCAAGAACACTTTTATTTACAAAGTTTAGCAAGACATTAGTACATTGCAATAATAGACTGACCATGAAACATTATTAGCTGTGGTTTAACATTACAATAAATACAGAAAAACCTATCATATCTGTAATAAACACCTATTATATTTAGTTTTATTTAATATATTTTAAATGGGAGTTATATATTATGATAAGATAGTTTTTAATGTTATATGGAGTTTTATGAAAGTGAATCAAACAAGAAATGTTTTTAGAGTAGAGGTTTTTTATACTCAGTTCTTTCTGCCTATCTCTTAAGAAATCTGGACTGAAAATATGTCTTAAAAATATATGAAATCAAATCAATAAACCCTTCTAAACACTGTCTAATTATTTAAGTTTTTAATGCAATAATGTGAAGTAATCTTAGCCATTGTTTACTAGTCAGATATAAGACGTAACGGACTTTATTGTAGATCTATTAAAAGAATTGAATATTGATTTATTGGAAAATCATGTAATCATCAGATTGCTGCTTTTTTTTAATAAACTAAGGACCATATATAATTATCTACAGTAGTGTAATTAGTCAATATGAACAGACAGATGGAAAACATTTACTTGTTTATAGGAGTTAATGATCTTTGCCTTTATCACTTAAAATGTTTAGTTACAGTCTAAGTTTGTTCACAGAGATAAGAAGCAAAATTAGACACAAGATGACAACATTCTTTTTTTTTTCGTAATGACTAACTACCAATGATGTCATCAAAAATGTACTATTACTTAGTTTTCTGGCAAGAGACCATTATTATCATTGTACAAACATATATACTTGATTATTATTATCATATTTATAGATTTTATAGTTTAATTTTAGAACAATATGTAGCAATGAGGGTTATACCTTTTAGTAATTTATAAAGGGGGACCCATTATACCGGCACAAGAGTTTTTCCAATGAATGGTTGAAATAATGATGATGATGTAATAATGTCAACAAACTTAGTGACATGTTTGTATGATTACAAAATCCAATTTATACAAAATACTACTTAGTTTGGGATCAGATGGTACCATATAGTGGCGTGACTATATCATTTTTTTTTCTTTTTTATACAATTTAGAATGGCAAACAAGCTGAAGGTCCACTTGATGGAAAGTGGTAACCGTCGCCTATAGACATGAGCAGTACCATGGACATAACAGAGTATACTGTTTCGCCCATGATACCCCCCCTACATTGCCATTCTTGAGGACTCAGGTGTTATTCCTCTGTACCCAGTAATTTCACACCATATCCCACTCTTCAAACCGAAACACAGACATGCAAATACAATTGCTTCACGGTTGAAATACGAATGGGACAGAGGTACCCAAGCAATCGACTTTTGTAAAAAGTCTCACTCTGGTATCATCTGAGGTCTGTGGTAAATTCATCTAATGGGGCCTTCCCTTTATCTAAAAAAGCTCAATGTTATGATAGTTTCATTTTAGGTCAGTGATCCCATCAGTCAAGGGGCAGTTTGTCCACTCTACTGCCCTATTGCTATGCTACTGGTATCATGTAATATGTTCAGAGCTGTTTCTTACCTACAATACACAAATTATTATTTTTTTATACTACTATGGTGACAAACAAGCATATGGTCTGTCTAATGGTAATCAGGGTTACTATAGCCACATATTTGGTTCTATTAAAAATAATACTTTCGTTATTTTGATTTTATTTATTTTATTTTTTTTTAATTTGAATAAGTTTAATTATTCTCATTCAGATATCATAGTAGTCTTTACTCAACTTCATAAATAATAAAAGTAGCCTATATCTTAAATACAATGATGTACTAAATTTCGTATTATTATAACAATTAGTTGAGTAGTTGAGCTGTTAAGATACCAAGAGGTATTTGTTATCTCATTGGTGTCTTAACTCATTTATGTGGTAAAGGCAAACAAAGTTTCCATTTATATTAGTATTATGATATTAGAAAATATTTCATACATTTTTACAAATTGTTATAATAAAAAAAAGTTTTATGACTATTAACATTTGAAAATGTTTGCGGAACAATTAAACCATGCAAATCTTGGTCATGAAAACCTTATAGAAAAAAGGTTGTGTTAAAACAGATATCAAAGCAAATATATATAATCATCGTCATATTAGGCATTAATTGTCCACTGCTGAACATCAGCTTGCCCCATAGACTGTTATAATGAATGGTCCCGAACCACCTGCATCCATTGACTTACTGCATGCATTTGAGGTCATCACTCTATCTAGTGGAGGTCACCTAACATTGTATTTTCCTATACAGAGTCACCACTTAAGAATTTCCTTACCCATCAAATGTTTGTTCTTTAAACTAAACACACATATATATAAAAAAAGCCCATCTGGCCAAGTTGGCAGAATCACTAATACTTACCAATTAAAGCTGGGAGAATACTTTTAGATACATTAACTTCAATGGTGTTGACCCTGGACGTCTTCACATTATCATCTTTTGATTCATCATCTTTTTTGAACACATAGTACACTACAAATGCTGTTACTGTAACCAATGACAAGCCGAGGGCTAATGGTACTATAAATTTGGTGTTTGAAGACATTTCTGAAAATGAGAGTTTAAATTATATTAAAAAATATAAATTGTAAAATATTATAAAAATATACAAGTCTAGGAATATTTGTAAAATAACCATATGTCATATATGAATTTGTATATTTATGAGATTGTAAATAAAGTACACTATATTTATGTATGACTAGAGACTACAAAACCCATAAAAATTGGTAATTGGAATAATATAATTGTGATAAAATAACCGATTCAATTCTGCATTTATAATATTATAGAGGACTTATACTATTAAATTAAATATTTGAATATTTTTTTAGATAATTATTCTAATTTAATTCATTGACTTTATACACAGGGTATAAGGGACAGGTTGGTAAAAACTGAAACAGTGAATTCAGACTATTATTCTGAACTGAAAATCAGTTGAAATTCTTTTTGGTAAATTTCAAATTTATCTATTTTTTTTTTTTTGTTGAAAATCATATAACATATGATATTATTTTATTTATTCATATTAAAATACTACCACAACACACAATCACCTGTATGAGGTCAATGCCATAAGCATATGGAAACTACCTATGAAGAGATATTGAGTGTGTTGTACAACGTTAAAACTAAGAAACATTAATTATATAGTTGTCGTGCATTTATATAGCAGTGGCAAAATAATCTGCCATCTGATTCAGACCGTTCATCTGAATATTTTCATTTTGGACAACCTGCTAATTCCACCCTGTACAGTGTCAATGAAAATGTTATAACATAAAATATAAAAAATTGTGAATGATAAATATATAAATGTGGAAAATATTTAAATATTTATTTTCCTATATAAATAAACTCTCTAAGAAATAACTTTAAAACTCTACTTTTAAATATTTAATAACTACTCTGGAATGATGAGTAATTTCCACTGACCTTTATAACAAGGATAAGTAACTGATAAGCTGATAACTTCTGTAACACAAAATTAATTCTAATTGTAATATTAGAATAGGATAATAATATTTATTGTACACCATAATCGTAATGAGATTAGAGTAACAACTTTCGAAGTCAAAATTTAAACCCGCCTACACTAACTTTGGTTGTTACTTTATCAAATGAAAAATATGTAATTAAAAAGGACTATATTGGTCTTGTTTTTACGACGGATAAGTTATAAAGTATACTTTAATAGAGAAATCTATTAGCAGGTATGACATAATAACAAGAGTAAAAATTGCTTTGCAAGTAACATGATACCATACATAAAACAAGCCGTAGTATTGATGATCTGTTAGTAAATATTAAGCAAAACTCTATAGAAAATAATTGTAATTATAAATTAATACTATAATAATATTATATATTGTTAAAAATAAACAGAAATTATTTACCTAAAAACTTTTCACCCAAAGTTCACGTTTTCGATCGTTTGACATTTAGTTAGAAATATTTTGATCACATTGACACTGTGGCGAATGATGTTGACATCTAGATGACAAATGTGGAAAAGCTGACATTTAGATCTTTATCTAAATGTCAGCTTTTCCACCTCTCTATGAGAGGCATAGAACTGAAACTATACTGATTTAGTTCTATTTTATAAATACAACTTTTATGATTAGAAACTTACATACAAATAATAGTACCTAAAGTTCCATATAACTTGACTTGAAAATAAAATATAAGTAGAAACATTAGATTAAAATAATAATAATAATAAATAATATTTTAATATAAATATCTATAAAAATATCTATTGAAGACTTATGTAGGACGAGATGACAAATGTTTGAAAATTAGAATGTCAGGTGCTAAAATTAATATAATAAACGGATTATTATGAAAACAAGTATATAAGTAAGTTACCATTATAAAAGATATTATTTATTTATGTCACGACTTAATAATATTGTGGTTAAACAGTAATTGTCTCACTTTTGCTTGTACTCTTCATATCCTCATAATTACAAGCGCTTCTTTTAATGTATATTAATGGAACGGTTACCCCGCCTGTGCTATCGGTATACACAGGCGGTGCACCAGTGAGCTTGCATTGCTAGCAATAAACCCTGATAGAGGTATTCCTAGCAATGGGGTTGCTAATCCACATTACTAACAATTCCTTCCCCCCACGATTACAAATGCTTCGATCATGTATAACTAGTGTATTGCCCATTCGCTAGTACTTTATAATCGGGTTATTTCGATGATCCCTAAACGGCTTAGAGGCTTAGTCTAAGCTATTATGGTAAAAACGTTGTATTGCATAAACTGATTCTCAGATCCTTGGTTGGTCTCTCGAAAATATATATCTCGAAATTCTAACTCAAAATCTAGGGAGGAAGCGATTGGTAGTAATGCGGACTACCAGTCCCATTGCTAGCAGTAGCAATATACCCCGTCAGATCGACCTCCACGCGGTTCCCCCTGGAAACCATCTTGCTGAATTCCAGGTTTATTTATCACGACGGGCTAACTGACCTGCTCTTTCATTTTTCCTTACCATCCCTCACTGGTGCCCCGCCAGTTAATACTAATAGCGCAGGCGGGGTTTTTTACGTAGGAGGAAAGGGATTGTAAATAATGAGGTCTAATAAGCCCATTGCTAGCAATATACCCTCTCAGGTCGACCTCCACGCGGTTCTCCCTGGAAATCATCATGATTAATTCTTATCGAATTCATCATGTTGGGCCAACTGACCTGCATTCATTCACACCACTATCATCTTCCACTGGTGCCGCGTCGGTGTATACCGATAGCGCGGGCGGGGTTACCATTCCATTTACACGCTTTAAAAAAACATTTGTACGTTACGAATGTAACTATATAATCACAGACACGATTGTCTGTGTATATAACTTAGAGATAAATACACCACACTGGGGGGAAGGGATTGTTAGTAATGGCGAGATTAGTCGCCATCAGTATCAATATACCGTATCAGGTCGACCTCCACACGGATCCCCCGGGAAACTATCGTGACTAATTTATCGTTGAATTCGTCACGATGGGCTAACTGACCTGCTTTTTCATCCTCACCTATTATCTCTCACTGGTGCCCTGTCAGGCGGGGTTACCATGTCATTTTCACCCATAAAAAAATACACCACACTGTAATAGCTATAGATATACTCGCCTATATTCTTATTTTCTGACTGTCTAATATAAACTTTGTACATAATATGATAATAGCTCAATTTTATTTGCACGTTTCCATTTCCCACGCAAAACATCATGTCATGCAATTTCGGGCACTGATCGATTTTCAAATGTATGTATGTATAGATAGCTATCTTCATATGTATCACTTCAACGCAAAACAATAGAAACTATTAAAATTCTAGAAGGGAGTAAGTACCTGAATTGTTAGCGTTTTATTTAATAATTCAATATACCTAAATATGTATCTACTTACTTTATGTATATTTTTTTTGTAATATGTTGAAAATAAATAAAAAAAAAAACAATTTACAATTGCTAATTAATTCCTAATTGTTTCCTCTTTCATTTCCACATATTAAAAATACAAAAAAATAAACATTACTTTTTTTTTAGTGTGATTGTTCCGTTGTGGAATAGGCTAAGGTCGGAGACCATGCTGCCTAGTCTTCAATATGATAATTTGTCTGGAATAAATAAACCTTACTATTTTTATAATTTTTTCTTTCGATGTTCGGTAAGGTACATGGGGTATATGCTTAGGTTACTTGATATGACCTATCCTATATTATAGGTTATTTTATGACTCAAGAGTCCAATATAGGTTTCACTTAGATTATAAGGTTTCATTTATGTTTTTCATGACAGTGGATACATAGCAAAACCTAAGTACTTTTTTTCACTTAGCGATTGAACATATCTTTTATAACTATATTTTTTTTCATTTTCAGTGATTTCAATTTAAGAAAGTGCTGTTCTAATTACCTACCTAACTTCAATTTAAAATGACATGGGACGTTACATTGGGTAAGGCTAAAAGTCAAATGCATTTCACATATGTATGTACCTATCTGTTAGTAGTAATATTAGAATGGTGACCCACTTCTTTCATGACCTTCGAATTTTTCTTGTATTCAATTTACATCGCACACGAATTACCTACCTATTCCATACTTTGGAACATCAGTGTATCCAGACATTTGGATTACATTCGGATTTTACGATAATAAGCAAATTTTGTTTAGTAAATACTAGCGACGGAACTATGTAAATCACTTCAGAGTTGACCAACATATCATATAATTTTTCTTTATGAAGTCACTTTAATGACTATGTGCATTTCTCGCTTAACTTAGAGATTTTCAAAACCAAGGTTTTCGAATCGTCTATATATATATTTTTTTTTGTGTATTACCAAATGTCTTGGTCAATTGTGAACCAATTTTGATAATTATTATTGCAGTCGATATCATTTATCACGAGTTAGTTCAACGAACTAGCTATTTTATGCTGTGCTACGTAAAATTCTACTTGTTTATTATTATTTTGTAAGAGAAATTAACGAAAGGTGACGTACGTAAAACTATGAATTTAACTTTGTGAATATTTTTCATCGTCATGACTAACATTGGTGTATTGAAGATTATTTCCTAGGAGGACTTGGACTCTTTAAAAAAAGTCCATATGTATTTTCAGATATGTCTTTGGGGAACTTTGCTCGTGTACTGGGGTGGACGCAAGACGATTCTGGAATGGGCACGGACCAATTGGAACCCCTTCTAAATAGAACTATGATGACTGATGTCAATTTGTTATAGTCTTTAGAATGGCAAAGAAGCTGATGGTCCACCACCATCGGTGCCATGCTAAAATTTTAATAATAAGGTAAAAAAAGTCCGTAAAAATATTATCTTGTAAATACCCTACGACGGCACCGATCGTGCGCCCCAATAAAACGTAATCGTCTTATTCGTCATATTTTTTTATTGCCGCGCTGATCACGAAAGCACAAAACAAAATGCTCCATGACATCCAGTCAGTGAGGACCTGAGCAACCATGCAGCGGCCTTACAAACGTCGGTATCTGCAATTGATAAATATGCAGGAAGCGTTCCACGGCGGTAATATAAATAAGCAATAGAGAGATAAAATTATCTACTGCCTAGGTATTTAAAACATATTTCTCCTCTCACGAGGAAATATATTTTTGTACCTACGTGCTCATGTATCTAATTTTATATATGTACAAGTGCTTAAATAAAAATAACTACGCTGTACTTACTCGTGTCTGTGTAATATTTCAATACGTAATAGATCTAACAAATATTTTACTGAAGTAGGTATTATCTCGCGAAAGTCCGTATCACTGAGTATTTAATTAAAATTCTTCTGTTTAATTCCGCTACCATTAGTATCTATCTATGTGACTGCCAACACTCGAAGATTGAATAATTATAGAAGTATTACAAGCTTCCATATTAGCTATCAATCTCCGATTGTCAATTGTCATCTTTAGGCAAGTTATTAGATCGCTGCAAACGGCTTAACTCAGGGCACTAGGCTTCGAGTTAAATAAAATAATTCTAATCTAATAATAAAAAAAAATTGAAAGCAATTTTGTCTTGTTGTATTTTACTTATTTACGAATAAGTAATAATGTAAATAAGTTTATTTTAGTTGGATTTCCTTGGTTTCCTTGATATTTTCTTAAAAAATAGGTTCATATTACAATTGTTTTTTTTTTGTTTGTTTTAGTTCTTAACATATCTTCACGATTCTTTTTGCAAACAACACGGTTAATTCACGTGTTGGGTGTTATAGTTTTTTATTTATTTTGATATTAAAGTAATAGGTAGTAACATGTATATATTGCTACAATATCACGTGGTATATCGCGTAAAAGTTAAACGTACGTTGTTACAATTCTCTCCTAGATTTCGAGTACGTGGTAACGAAGAAGCCTCCACCTCGTATATGTTTCGGCACGGGTCTAAGCCGGGAGGTGTTGCCCATGAAAGGACCATGCATGAGTCCATTTATGATACGCAACGCGGGCGAAACTAGACCTAATTTGGGTCCTGGCAGCTATGACAGCAAACGTGATGCTTTCTACGATGTCAGCCATAGGGTAATACATAAATGTTACCTAAAATGTTTTCTATGATTAACTTTCAGACTTTTTTTATGCAACTTAGAATGGCAAATAAGCTGACGGCCCACCTGATGAAAAGTGGTAACTGTCGCCTATAGACATGAGCAGTACCATAGACATAACAGAGTATACTGTTTCGCCCATGATATTCACCATGCGTTGCCATTCCTGAGGACTCAATTCTTATTCCTCTGTACCCTGTAAACTACTACTACTACCATACTTACTACCATATTCCAACTTTTAAACCGAACTTTCGCACTCTATGTTTTATAAGAGACGAAAATTAACGTGATCATTTAGGTAAACTATGTCATAGAGTACTTAATACACCTAACATTTACGTGCTGTTCTCTCTCACTTTTGCTCTTACTCCAAACATACATTTATACTGTTCACCTTCTCTCACACCATACACTGAACGTCATATATTTGAATGAATGAATGAATGAGTATGCTTTATTTTCAATATACAATATAGGAAATAACAAGACAATTAACAAATATAACTATACAATTGTATAAATACAGTAAGGCGGTCTTATTGCTGAGAGCAATAAGACCGCTTTGTAATCTTCTACTTAAGTTTTTTTCATGTTTATTATTTTTTATATTATAACTCAACAATGTATATAATGTAATATACACTATATGTATACTAGTACAATGTATTTATATATGCAGATTTAACACTATCTGCATATATAAATACATTGTACTGGTTTTTGTATGTTGGAAGGAATTTGCTTACAAGACACAGGTTACCTTAATTTAAAAGATAGGGCAAAAAATACGTTCAACCTTGTATTTGTTAATAAAAGTTTTACTTATCAATTAAAACTTGCTTATTAACGTTCTTAAAAACTTGCTTATTAACGTTCTTATTAATTATAGCAATTACTTTTAAAAGAGAACTGATGCTTTATACATTCAGAAAACAACTGAAAAAAATATTCCATACATATATGTGTATAGTTCTAAATATGTGTCGTGTGGTCCCGGCATGGAATAAGCCACCCCTGCCTTCCCCGTGGGTGTCGTACTAGGCGACTAAGAAAGGGCTAGAGATAGGCAACAGCATCCCTCTTAAAATAACTCCAAAGCCTAACTGCGGTTATCAAACCGAACTCCCAAGAGGGAGACTTATGTTTAGCAGTGGACAGATAAAAAGCAAGCATTTGGCGTTCCATTGTTTCTGCCTACCCTAATGGGAGACAGGCGTGACAGATATGTATGTATGTATGGATAAATAAAAATGGCAATCCATTAGGGTCAGTAGAGAAATTACAATATGTGCTATGATGTATATGGTACTGCTCCTTATAAATACCTTTCAACGAGTGATATGTCTGTTTGCCATTAGTTGTTTAGAAAAACTACTTTTTTTGAGTTATTCTATATAATCAGATTTTCTATTTGTAAACTGACATCGATGAGAAAATTTTAACTCCATACAATCTTTTATTTGCAGTCCTTGTTTTTTTTTCCTTTCACAGATATATAGTAAATATGGTTTAGGAGCGAAATCTCCTCGGTGGAAGGTGAAGCACGAATATCAGCCGCCGCCAAGAGAACTCCCACCGAAGAAACCCGTTCCACAAAACTGCGCTCCATTTAATTCTACCGCAAAAAGAAAAAGCTTGTTTAAAGCGAACGATCTTCCAGCGTAAGATAATAAATTTAGTTGACAATGAGGTTGATTCTAAGGCGCCATTTAATTAGTTATAGCAGTTTAGAAATAAGATTTATTACTAAACTACTAATTAAATTTATCTCTAAAATTAAAATCGCGGCAAAAAGGCACCAATATAAACAAAATAATAATAGATTTAAGTTAAAATTATTAAAAGTATTATTTATGGTAATCCTAAAAAAAGTAATTTCGCAAAACTATCAAAACCGAATGTTTTAACATTTGGTTAAAAATTAAGTATAGAGAAATGGCGCCTCAGAAACGGCTCTAATATCTTGATAATGCAATTCATATCCACGTCTCACTTAATAATAATTAGGAACCAACTAAATTAATTACAAAATTGACGCTTTTATTAGCTATTGTGTTTAGTTGGTACTTTACCAACGAATCTATCAATAGAGTCGTCTCTGTTAATGTCTACAGGTACGCAATGAAAGAGCAAGATAGCGCGCGTCGCCATTTCATTCTATTTCATGGATTCGCTAGCGATAATAATTTTATCTATAGATTCCTTTGTATTTTGTCTAGAGTGGCAGGGATTTCTTCCATGGCCATGGTAGGTATCCTAGGTAGATATTTAACTTCTATTAAAATAACTAATATTACTCCACAGACCTTGCAACTACTGTCCCGAATACGGTAAAAGGCAAATGAAATTTGCATATAGTTTCTCTGGGAAAAAGGTCCTTAGATGTGCCGTTGAGGTAAGCCATAAATTGTAGTATTAAAATTTATATAAACATTTTCTGTAGATTTCTTTTTAACTGATTCCATAAAATCCTCAATTTAACCAATACTCGTATACTTGATATTTTTTGACATTTTTATTATAAAGGACAGTCCTGAGTCACCTACGTTCATTGACCTCCTTCAAATGCATTTATGGTCATCACTCCATCATATTTCGTCCTACACTGCGTTTGTCCGTATGGAGTTGCCACTCAAGAAACTTTTTTCCCCATCGGTTGTTGGTTCTTCGAGCTACATGACCAGTTCATTGTTACTTCAGCTTGTTTATCCTTCGGACTATGTTGATGACTTTAGTTCTTTTGCGGATATCCTCATTTCGAATTCTGTCTCGCAAACTCCGAACATAGAATTCTCCATAGCTCGCTAAGTAATTTGAACCTTTCGCATACGGGCAATTATGTAGGACTTTGTTTCGGTTCCTTAAGTCGTTACTGGAAACACGCACTGATTTAAAACCTACGTCTTGAAACTCTGAGGTATTTTGAATAAAAATATGTGGCGAAGTTTCCCGAAAAGCATCACAACCGAGTTGAAATCGTTGGTTGGTATTTTGTTTGAAGTTGGAATTCCCTAGTCAGACATTAGATAGACAGTTTTTTGTCCAAAGCATACATACTCATCGACAACTTCCAGCGTAGTTTTTTCAATTATAACCAAAGTTTAATTGTGACATAGACGTTAGACATGATTTATACACTCATACCTTAAAATTTCTCTTATTAAGAAATTTTAGGATGCCACACTTCGTTCTGTCTACACTATTAGGAATATATATGTCATATCTATTAGGAAGAATGTAGTGAATAGTAGAACGAGTGCAATAAGTAACGAACCAGTGCCAAAGTTAAAAGATCTACCAAAAGGTAGAAGACAGTAACAATTTATATTTTTAAAATTATTGATACGTTGACGCCATGACGCCATCTCGTCTTCTTAATAAATAATAATTTTATACACCTGTAATTTAATTATTTTAATGCTATTTTCACAATAAACAGATAAAGTGCGTCCCATATAATTTGGATACTTGCGGATTTTGTGGCTGCTCCTGCTCAGCCCAAGGGGATTACTGGCAGTTCGAGAATCGAATATTCCTTTGTCGGAAACATTATTCACGGCTGTTTAAACATTGCCTGTCTAAATTCCAAGGCGCTAAATTAGCTGAATTCAAGGTGAGTCTATACATAATTTATTTATAAGAAAAATTCCTCATGAAAACTTATGAAGAATATGATAGTATACTTTAATGTAGAAACGAATAAGCAGTCTTATAATGAAAGTTTATTTTAATTATGAAAATGATTATTGGACCTGACCATAGACATGTTTGTCATGTTCTATATCTAGTAAGTATAAAAAAAAAAAAAACAATTAATTGTATGTTTCGATTTGTTACTAATTTCATTTATAGAGTGTTTCTGTGATAATTCAATAAAACTTGTTTACCTTAACATATAATTCTATTTAATTATATAGGTATGTGTAATTTAGTTAGCCGTCTTATCATATTATTTATTTAATAAAACATCCTACATTCATTATCACGAATTAATTTTCTGGATGAATATGGAACGTTACTTTTCTTTGTTAGGATGTAATCAGCTCAATTAGCTTACCGTGGCAAATGTAATCGGAATTAACTACAATTACTTTAAAGAGAAACCGATTAGTGAGAGAGAGGATGTATTGTTAGTAATGAAGACTACAAATTTTATTACTAACCGTCTCTTCCCCCTATAAATAATATATAGTAGTTTAATAGATATCTTAGGTCTATAATCTTTACCTATATAATAACTTTAATCTAAAGACTTAAACTTTTAAACTAAGACACTGTTTTGATAAGTATATTATCACTATTGTAACTAATTATTTATTTGTTATACAGTCAATCAGAGATTGCTTCTTCGCGCACGCTCACAACAGTTGCAAGGCGGCTTTGAAGATAATGAAAAGTGAGGAGATTGATAAGAAACTGCGCAAAGAGGCCTACCTCGATCTATATTTCCCACAAAGACGATTCTGTAATAATTGAAAAATTAGAATGTTGATTTTCTTGAATTCTTTATTTTCTTAATTTTATTGTGTATTTAATTCTAAGTATATTAAACCTATGCAAGAATCTAAAGCATATCTATGTATAAGAATTTGTCATAAGTTTAAATACTTAGTTTATAATATCCTTATAAATATGAATGATTGGGGGGGAAACAATTGTTAGTAATGGGGGTTAGTCCCCATTACTATCAATATACCTTATCAGGTCGACCTCCACGCGGTTCACCCTGAAAACCATCTTGACTAATTTATAATTAAATTCGTCACGATGGACTAACTGACCTACTTTTTCATCTTCACCAATCATCTCTCACTGGTGCCCCGCCAGTGTATACCGATAGCGCAAACGAGGTTACCATATCATTATCACCCATTAAAAAAAAAAGGAATAATTATGGAGGTATAAACTTCAGCCTCAGGGAAATCCTCATGAATGGCAATGCACTTAACCGACACGTACCTTATAAGATACTGTACGCAATGTCGTAATGCAGAGAATACCTAAATATCTTGTAGACGTTTCCACTTAGTAATATTTTTTATTCAAGTGAAAATGGTTTAGTTACAACAAATATGGTGAGTAGTATTAATATAAGGCTCAAGATTTCTCTTTGAAAAAAAAATATTATACGGGCTTTGTTTGTAGTTAATTAATTATTTGATTAGTGGTTTGAATAATTGTTGCAAGTTTTTTGTCGTCTACCAAACCCTTTTACAAAAGGTGCTTACGAGACACTAATAAATTACCTGGATTCTAGTTACATAAAAACTTAAAAAAATTATCTGTTATCAATCTGTCATTTACAGTCATCTGACTTACCGACTCAAACTTCTGTTCTGTTCCAGTGAAACTACATAAATGTTAGTAAGAAAATATTTTTAACCAAATTTCAAAAATTGTATGGAAACGTTTCTTATAAGTTTTTAATAAATTTCTAACTTTCGCGAAATACAACGAAGGGAATATTTTCTGTACTATTCTCCACTTGTCAGTGTAATCTTTAATGTGAATTGTTATTTATTATTTATTTTGCTATCGAATCGATACTCTGCGGATACTTGGAGAGAAAGAATCATGAAGCTTGACTCAAATAACAAAATGATAAATAACGACAGTGGTGCGGACACTCCGGAGGAGGTAGTAGACTCGCGACAAAACGCCGAGGATATTATTGATGGAATTCTCGCAGACTTCACAGATTTCGTGTCGCCTGATGCCGTTCGGAACGGGAGTGTAGTTGCAGAGAATTTATTCGGCATGATGCAACCGCCACGAACGAGGACACCGGCTAATTCTCTTTCTGAAAACGCTACTATTGATGACATCGATCCCGCGTCTGATCTGGGAACGTCTATACGAAACAAGTGTTTAGAGCTGGAAGAGATATTGCAGAGCCTCAAGTCAAGGTTGAACCATGTTGTTTTAGATGAAAACATTGTGCTTAGCCCTGAGGCTAACTCTTTGGAGGCACAATTGGAACATGATCTCGATACAGATTGTCAGGAGGACTTGTCACTTCAAGAATTTCTCGAGCTGTTGCATTCCCAGAACAAAATAAGTCCAACCGGTGTACAATAATCATTTTTATTTCAATATTTAGATATTAAGATACAAAACTACATGAATTTATTCTGTGCAAATTTGCAATTAGATTTTATTGAAAAGTATAGAATTAAAATTTCAGGCCTAATGTAAGTAGTATTATTGATGTAACTACAGGATCTAGAATGAAGATAATACAGATATTTGTCTGTATGTACACTTTATTTATAACAATGTTGACATAAAAATAGACTATGGTCAGAGCAACACTGAATTTAAGAATAGATAATATTATTCAATATTCAATTTAAAATCACTTTCTGTAGTTTAAAAAAAAAGTATTACAAGTAAAACATTAGAATATGAAGGAGGACTGCATGGAGGTTGCCCGGATATTACTAGCAATAGGGTGCTTGTCCCCATTATTAATATATTGTTCCCCTGAATTCATAATGAATAATTACATTATGAAGAGAGTAATTGTTACCTTATGAAATTACTTACTAGCCTACCTAACTAAGATAATATGAAGGTATCATATTTTTGTGCGTATAAGTAACTTATATGTTATATAAAATTTTCTGTTTTAAATATGTGTGGGATTTGTAAATAGAGTGCTGTAATCCACCAGAAGATTTCCATAACAGTACATACTACAAAAACAGCACTAGCATAACAGACAAGAATCATCTAGCATACTATTTTGACAGAGACTGTATGGTAACCTGGAAATTAGTTCAATGACAGCATACCGTCTTATGTTTCTAAAAAGATGTATAAGTATTTTTTTTATACAACTTAGAATGGCAAACAAGCTGACGGCCCACCTGATGGAAAGTGGTAACCGTCACTTACAGACATTAGCAGTACCATGGACATAACAGAATATACTGTTTCGCCAATGATACCTCCATGCATTGCCATTCCTGAGGACTCAGGTGTTATTCCTCTGTACCCAGTAAATTCACGCCATATCCCACCCTTCAAACCGAAATACAGTTATGCAAACACAACTGCTTCACGGTTGAAACACGATTGGGACAGAGGTACCCAAGCAATCTACTTTTATACAAAGTCTCCTTCTGGTGAAGTAGTTTAGGTTTTATAGACAGATATTGTTTTTTAATAATGGTGACTGTTTATTAAATGCCCTTTTTGTCATTTTATCATCACTCAGAAAAACATCCTACCTATTGGTACTTGTAAGTGGGGTACCAGAAAGAAGTAATAGATGAGAATGAAATCTGAAGTCTGGTTAGTTGGCTCATTGGAATGAATTCATCAGAAATTAAGTATGATAGTTTTTGAGGCGACTGTGTGGAAGCGATCTGACAGATATAACACTAGCAATAAAGATACTAAACCCTATTTAATAAACCCCTCACTCAACAGATACTCGCAATGTGATTACTTTCTCTGTGCAAAGTGCAAATCTATGTAGTCTGTTTCCGTTTTATTTGATAAATATTATATTTTTTTAAACTAGGATTTGATGTATTATAAGAATAACATCGGGCATGAGAGAAAAACCTAGTATATCCAGACCCGAATTAAATTTGAAAAGTTTATTTCCTACGATAGCGTGCTTGAATTGAACCCGAGACATTTTTGGGCAAGAAACAAAATGGTAGTCACTATGCTGTAATTATCAATATTTATTCTCATCAAATCTTTTTTATGGGTGAAAATGGAATGGTAACCCCGCCTGCGCTAACGGGATACGCTGGCGGAGCACCAGTGAAGGGTAATAGATGAGAATGAAAACAGGCCAATTAGCCCATCATGATGAATTCATCATGAATTAACCATGATAGTTTCTAGGGAGAACCGCGAGGAGGTCGATGTGTTTGGGTATATTGCTAGCAATGGGATTTTCAGTCTCCATTACTAACAATCCCTTTCCCTCCCATTAAATCGAGTAGGACATGGATCGATCATATCTATACAAGTATTCGATATTTCCGAAGCTTACTGTCAAAATAAAAAAAATACGTATATTTGCAGTAATAGCAGCCAGGTCTGACACATATGTATGTATTATTTGCAGTAATTTTTATTTTGCAAGAAAAAACACTAGCTAGCAAGTAACTAAGTACAATAGGGTGGGTAAGTAGACCTTCAATAAGTTAAAATTCAAGTAACTCTATTTTCTGTAGTGTCAACTCTGTTTGACTCTAACACAAGACATCGTTAGTCAAATCAAGATCTATTCAAAACTGTTCAGAACACCGACATTTATGCAAATATTTATTAATTTATCCTTCACACTTTAAAAATACTTTAACTACATGAAGATATGGATTCAAATATATAAATTCTTTCAAGAATATTTAGTAAAATAAGAGTAATAAAGTACTAATATTAATTATTAGTAGTAATATTACAGTGGGCTAAAAGGAAACATCCAAAGCAGTAAAACTATATTAAAAAAAATATTTTACCCAAATCTGTGTCACTTTTAATAAAAAAAACTATTGTATATCTATGATACCAATTTATTATATTTTTTAAATTTAACACTAAAATGGTTAGTTTTTTATAATACCTATCGATATCAATATTTTGGGTAGAAGTTATTATAAATATTTTTATGTAATAACAACCGGATTAACTTACGTATATTTTAGCTGAGAAAGCTAATAAGACTTAATAGAAAATTAAGTATACCTTTATTTTAATGTATCGATGCTTCTAGGTGGTTACATAGATATATTTTCCAGTAATTCGGGTTTCATTAATTTCATAGCAGTGCCGACTTTTAGTTAACGCAATGATTCTGTACCTGATTTTGGCAATTTGTTTTGTTTGTGTTTTTTTAGTCATGTCTTGATTAATACAAAATAATTCACAAACTAAACTTATTATTCCAATTTTTCTAAATATAAGTTATGACTATAGCATTTAAAAATGTAGAAATATTTAATAATGATCATAAACAATAATTCATTGTATTTTGTTAAAATAAACAGAAAATGTCGATAATATTCACAAATAAAAGCAAAATCATTACAGAAATGATGAAGTTTTCCTTTCACCACCGAGCATTCTACTGTTACCTTGGCATGAGCATTTGGATATTCTTCCTTATTACTGGTGAGTAAAAAATCATTCGTACAGCCCCCATACAAAATATAAATAAATATTATTTTATTAATTTCCAAAACACGACCGGTGTGAAAATTACACATGTGTGCATTGTGAGTAGCAACAACATATAATTCATTAGATTTTAAATTTTGATAAATATTGTAATAATAAAAATATTTTAAGTCATTTTATTAACCCTCTGCCAACCATATATGACAATATCGTCTGCGCCAAGTTTGGACTTGATGCATATCTTTGTAAGAAAAAAAGGATGGGGCCTCTAACCCCTCTGTAAAAAAACTTACACGCGCATATCTCACAGGCAAGGTTTTGAAAGGCGCTTATAATGATATGAAGAATAAATCTCCAAAACATTTCTTCTTAAAACTAATTTATATCCAAGATATTGATTTTTTTAGTGAAATCTTAGAAATTACGGTTTTTGTAGAGATTACAAAATTTTATTTCAAAGTATTCAAGACAAAAACTATGGAAACAGAAAAAATCTAGAACATATATTTTTTTGGAATTTTTCCCTATCTTTAAGTAAGTTAAATATAATTGTATATAAATATTTATATAAATTATAATTAATCTTTTGTTTCTTTCTATATGTGTATAACTATTTATACACATATAGAAAGAAACAAAAGATTAATTCACATCAAATGACATCTCTTAATTTTTTTTTATACCACTGAGGTAGCAAACAGGCATGTCTTACCTGAGAATATAATTACTGAAAAGAAACTTAGTCCTTTTTCATTGTAAGACAACCTATTTAATTTTTTTTTTTTTTATTATTTTAATATTATATTTTACAGTAATGTATAAATACATGTCTGCTGGTGAGGAAGCTGTGATTGTTAAGAAAGTAATTCAAAATGAGTACATATCAAAAAGTGATTCCAAATTCCGTAAACTGTATCTTAGAGTTTGTACTCCACCTGACAGCATTGTAAGGGGCTCTGAAGGTATGTACCAATATATGAAGGTTAATCAATTCTATTAATCATTCATAGCCACTTAGAACTGTTGAATATAGACCTCCTCCATAAGGGGGAGCAGTTGCCATGCTTGGTAGGTGGGTTGGCCATTGCAGTTAACTTTTGGTGACATTTTAAGAGGGATGCTGCTGCCCATCTCTCAACCATTAAATTATCTTACTTGCTTCTTTGGCACAGTACTTTAGTTGAAAATTCTCACAACCACTCATGATTTAGGGTCCCAGATGGTCCTGAAATTAATTATTTTTTTTTTCAAAATAGAAAGAACAAAGAAATATTTATTTGTAAATACATGTACCTATGAAACTTTTAATAATAAGATTATTATACTTTACATTATTTGTTTAGATTTACAAAGTCGTTGGGAATATAGTTTTTAGAGAGACCTTATAGATAAGATAGTCCAGGGTTTGTTTCTGATTTATTTCTAGGTGTTGTGGACAGTGATACTTGGCTTCTGCAGGGTATACTAGTGGTCACTAGACATGGTGACAGAGGGCCTCTGACACATCTCAAGGGTGGTGACAAGTTGCCATGTGATACATCTCCTGTTTCACTATTACTTAAAAGGTCTGGTATATATATTAAATTTATTATTTCTTGTTAATTTAGTATATATTTATTATCAATTTGGAATGATTGAGAATAAATAGTATTATTTTGCATTCTATTTCCTTGGGTTAACCCTTAATACTGCTTACAGTAATAAGTGAGTGGGCCTTATTTATGTGACACAAATCATCCAGAATATTCTAACATCCTTGTTGGCAACAGACTTCCTTTTATATAAGTTTACCTTTTTAAATTTTATTTTTAATTTGTTTTTTTTTTTTGTTTTTCCTTTATTGTCATTTATATATACTTCTTTGTAAGGAAAATGAAAGTGATTAGCCTCTAATAATATTTAATTATTGCTGCTGTTAATATTTAATTATTAGGAGAGAAGGCCTACTACCAGCGCACACTTAATAATCCAAATTTTTTATACTTTGGTTAACTGTAAACAAGCATTCTCATTATTGTTCACTCAGATTTTTTTAAATTAAAGTACTTGTAAATTGGCGATTGTACATTTTTAACTCTAGTAGGTTTTATATATCTTTTGGATTTGTAATTTATTGCATCACAGGCAGAAATGATACTTACAATTCACTGTCAATTTTGTACTCTGCTGCAGTATCTTGTACGCTTAATTTTATATGCTGTGGTATTTGTTGGGCCGCAGCTACGAGCAGTTCGTGTGGAACGCGAGTACGATGGGCCGCGCGTGGTGGGTGGCGGGCGCGGGTCCGTTCCACAACTTCCCGTCGCTGCCGGCGCGCCACCGCGCCACCCGCTGCGCTCTCGGCCAACTTACGCCGCGCGGCCTGCTGCAGATGCTCACCGTCGGTCAGTAGGCTTTCTTAATCATGTCGGCTGTGCTCTCAGTATACTTACACAGATAGGGTACCAATGAGTGATGATAGGTGAAGATAAAGCTCAATTAGTCAACCATGATTAATTAATTTGAAATTTGCCATGATGGCATCCAAGGAGAACCGTGTGATGGTTGACCTCATAAAGTGTATTGCTAGCAATGGAGCTGGTTCTATTTACTAACAATTTCAATTGCTAACAATTCCAGTTACTAACAATTCCAATTACTAATAATTCCAGTTACTAACAATCCCAATTACTAATAATTCCAGTTACTAACAATCCCAATTACTAATAATTCCAGTTACTAACAATTCCAATTATTAACATAATTGGAATTGTTAGTAACTGGAATCATAATCCAAGGTGTTAGGGTCTAAGAGAGGTGCCATAAAATTCAACGTTACAACACGGATCTCTGTCAACCCCAATTTTTATTGTTAGTGGTGGCGCCGGGCACCGCTGAAAATTTTAGGAATACATTATTAAAAGTCCAACCTTGTTTTGTTTCGTCTTCGAGTGATCGTCGTCTAAAGACTGCATCAGATATGCGTCCATCTCTTAGATGTTTTGTATGATTATTATTGTTTCATTTACTATTGGAGTTTTCATTTTATTTTATAGGTAATATACTGAAGGAAGCATACAGTGAAAAATTGGATCTTCGTAATTTGGATTCGCCAGGGAAAAAAGATTCAGGTAAGTGTTACTTTTATGTAAATAGTTAGAAATGTATTTCGAAATACAATTGGTGAAGTGAAAATATGTTTTGAGCCATTTAGCATAAATTTTGAAATTATATTAATATTTTTAATAGCTATTATTAATATTCTGCTGAGATTGGTTATGGTCCATCTCTATTTAAAATTTTATTCGACTCTGTTCATCTCATCTTTATACAATTTTTTTACATTGTATTAGCATAATTTCCACGGGGAATAGATGTTTTGGAGATACTAGGGTAACATATAATGAAGTAAATATTTGGAATTTGGAAAGTAAATTTATTTTTTCTCTCGGCGCTTTAACAGCCTACGATCTTTATCTTACTTATGAATAACAAAATCTTTATAGAATTTTGCATACTTTGCACAGACAAGAACGTAGGGTACATATTCTGGTTGAGAGAATAAGGTTACATGCACAGCTATAATCTATTTCAATACCTGATGATTGAATATGAGACTTACTAATGATGTACAAATCAAAATCGATTAATTTGTTAAATATTTCGATTTGTTACTAATTTAAAGTGTCCTATGATAAATTTTACAGAAGATGGTTAACACTTCATTAAGTTCTTGAAAATGATTATAGTAGAGTAATATATGGAATCGGTAGGGCGCGCGGTGTGGTACAGCACGCGATACCGGCGTACGTTCCAGTCGCTAGTCGCTCTCGCGTACGGCACGTGGGGTGCGGAGGCGGAGGGCGGCGCGGGCGGGGGCACGGGGACAGGGCCAGGCCCGGGGACAGGGCCGGGCCCGGGGACAGGGCCGGGGCCAGGGACAGGGCCGGGCGCCTGGGCGGCGGCGGCGCGGGAGGCGCACAGCGTGGCTTTCTGTTTCCGCGACTGCGCCTGCGCCGCGCACCACCACCTCAACAAGTAAGTTACAGTTCAGAATATAGAATCACCGATTTGATCTGAGTTAGTAATCAGCAAGATGAGTTTTAGCGCCACTTAATCGGGATCAAATGGAAATTAAATTGAAAAGGTGACAAATATAAGGTAAAGTAACATTTATTCGATGTACATTAGATCGTATTACTTTTTATTAAAAATTGCGTCATTTTCTATTGACCTTATAGTGATTTTGACTTGATCCTGTGGGTGGTCATTTTGGTGGTGAGAATAATGTTCCGTGTCATGAATGAAAATAATATACAAGTTTCCACTAATTGCCATTTGTTTGGAGTATCAGGGCTTTTGATAATGTTTGGAAAGCAAACAAGTTCAAAATAATCCGATAGCTGCTACCATCGCTTATGAGAACCTATAACACTAGTGTAGTTGCTGATGCGTTTTTTATAAGCGTTCTATTTAATGGAAAGTAGTAACCATTGCTTATAAAAATGTGGTAAAAATACAGAACGCCACCATGGATATTACAGGAAAATATCACTTCTTCATGATCTTGGATAAGAAATATTCATCCAGAGGAGAAAGATGCTTTACTAAAGCATCTCAATAGCGTTAATCTTAATTTTAATAAAGTGTCTTATAACCATTAATTTAATTACCGGCCTTTTAATATTTGTAGCCCTGCGTACTATCCTTTCCTTTATTTATATACCCTCAAACTACTGCTCGTGCGATAGTGGCACCAACTGACGTTAAGAGTTTTCATCTTTATGAATGTTGTATCGTGTACTAACCAAATATAATACAATAGTAAATTATTTTCTAATTCCAGAAAATTAAAGACCCAATCAAAAGACCGTCTGGATTCTCATCCCGCTATAAAGGAGCTAGTGACCAAACTGTCCAAAGTTCTATTCGAATCACAAGAACACACAGACGTGGACGTAGTCCGAGACGCTCTCCTCGCGTACATGTGCCACGATGCGCCCTTACCTTGTACAGAGGCACCGAACAAGACCCACAAGTCCAAACTCTTGATTAAAGGCCACAAGAAACTCAGAGCGGACACCTTTCCACTTAGAAGCCTTCTCGACGTCGATATAGATACACTAAACATGGAACTAGATTATATTAACAACCAGCTAGATTTCAACAATGAAATAGGTCGAAAGGCGAGAGACATAATTGGCAAATACTACGACAGTAAAGACAAGCAAAAGGCACCGCTAGACTTCGACGCGCAAATGGAAAAAGAGAAGTTGCTGTACTACCAGCAAAGGTACATAGACAATGCTGATACATACGATGACGTTGTCATAGTGAAGAAAAACCTAGATGCGGACTTCAACTTCCCAAATGACGTAAGAATGGATACAGACTTTGACGAAGATTACAGGGAACCGACGCCGGAGAGCACAGAGGATTTTTGCATCAAGAAAGAGCATGTCATGTCTTTGTTTGCATATCTTGAGTGGAGCTATCGGCAGGAGATCAAGAACGTTCACAACAGGAAGCGTGGGCTGCTCGTTGCTTACGGTTTGATACATAACATTGTACAAAATATCATAAGAATGATATCGGAGAACAAACCGAAGTTTGTTTTGTATTCGGGCCACGATAAGACGTTGCAAGCCCTAATTTTGGCTTTAGGTCTGAATAATTACCAACATTACAATATTCAGTATGCATCTAGAATGATCTTCGAAGTGTACAGAAAGAAGGATTTACGGGACGAGTTCAAGTTCACTAAGAGGAAGGCGGTCGCTCAAGACTTTTATTTCCGTGTGATATACAACGGGGAAGATGTAACGAATAAGCTGAGTTTTTGTAGGTCGCGCCACAATGTTGTCATGAAAGTCGTGGATCCTATAGACGATGTTAAGGTTTACAACACTTACCTGTGCTCTATAGAAAACATTGTTAGGTTCATACACGATGATTATTTTGTAGTTTTCAACGCGAGTAATTATAAAGATGCGTGCGCCAGTTACGGGAGCGCGAAGCATGTAGTATGAAATGGAGATGCTTCATTTAATAGCAAATTGAAATGTTATAAAAATTACCATGAAATATTTCCCACTAATATAAGAATAAATGATACATCGGATACCAATTATCAAGTTACATCTACCCGTGCAGCTTGTATTGTAATAAGATCTCATATATTTACAAAACATTATTTATTGAAATTACTTGGAAGTTAGGTATGTTTGGCTTTAACTATGATCTATTGATAACATTAAGGGATATTAGAAATAACTGTACATATCGTATTGTATGTAAATGTATAATTAATCATCACATTAACACAATAAAAAAAAATATTTTATATTAATTTCAATGCGCAATTACTATAACAATAGTGGTATATCGTCGTATAAAGTTATATTCGATAATAGTATATGTAATAAAACCAATCGGATTTGCAAAATCATTTGCAATCAGATACAATTCCAGTTTGAAAAGTATTGATTCAAATATTCAACACAAGAAACGACGTTGTTTGACCCGACATTTTCGGATCCCGAACTACAGATCCTGGCATCTGAATTAGAGCAATCATTATAAATTTTTTAGTTAAAATAAACGGTGATTTTTATGTTTTGTTTATATGAAAATTATATATTATGAAATATTTAATTAAAAACTAAGCCATATTAAATTGCATACATGCAATAACCATACTTATATTACTGATATTAATTTACAATCAATACTATTTTAATTGTAATCATAAGTATGCCATTATTATTTATTAACAATTGAGGCTGTTAAGAATTTTTTTATTTTAATTTTACAATTCTTGATTTAGATCTCGTTGCTTACCTCAAATATTAATAATTTATTGAACAATTCGTAACTTGGATCTTATTACTTATATGAAATGTTAATAATTTATTCGTAACTTAGATCTCAATACTTCTCTCAAATATTAATTAATTTACGAAATGTCAAATCGTTACATTTCATAAATTAGATCTCTTTACTTATATCAATTAACACGTTGGGCCCGGCGCCGGTCCCTGGGGACCGGCAGCGAACTTTCCGTGTGGCCAGCGTAATATACATCTAAAAAACGTCTAAAATAGCGCGACAAAGAATTCTTTATCTCATTAGTACTAAAGTAATCTAGGCGATAGCATACAACATTGTATCTCTCGCCGGCTGCCGGCTGAACGCAAAGGACAGCAAATTCGGCGCCGGGCTCAACGTGTTAATCAAATAATGTTATTAATATAATTAATTTATTGTAATACCTATTTTTATTGTAATAATAAACATGAGATTATAATTTCTTGAGTAACAAGAGAGGCCCTTTCATATTTTTAATTTTAAAATTCGTGACTTAAACCTTATCTTAAACTTTAATAATTTATTTTACAATATGTAGCTTATTTATCTAAAATGTTAATAATTAATTGTTAATTTATATTTATTAAGATCTCAGTGTTGTCCACCTACTAACTAGTAACTTTACATATCATTTTAATTTTTTTTTTTTTTTTTTTTTATATAATTAGCACCTAATTATAATAATATTGTTATACAAATATTATGTTTATTAAATTGACTACTTGATGTACTTACCCACCTAAACATATCAACATAATTGTACTTATACAAAAGTCATAATAAATTGGTTGAATGTACAAGTAATTTTGCTTATTTTATTTATTATACCACCAGGTGTATTTTTTTCAACTAATAGGCAGAGTGAATGGAGTGTCTCTGTCCTGAAGATACACAATTTTATACTGCGTCTCATACCTACTTGCATATCAGTTCCGGAGACTTTACTCCTTTCTGAAATAGAACACGGTCTATCTTATCATGATATCTAATAAATGATATTCTTTAAGTGAAGAGTTCGTTCAGTGTATGTGTAAATAAATAAATAAAATGAAATGAAATAAATAAAAAAAAATAAATGATATAAATAAAAAAAAATAAATAAAATAAATAAAATGAAATGAAATAAATAAAATAAATCATAATAGGTTAGTACAGGTCTCCTCCAGTACTTATATCCATCCGTTTTCGCATTGTTTATTTGCTGCGTAAACCTTTCATATGTCATTCAAAGGGGCGGGGGGAATAGGGATTGCCATTAATGGAGACTAGCGGTTGTCGACCTAAGAAAGTATATTACTAGCGATATATCCTCTTAGGTCGACTTCTATGTAGTTCCCACTGGAAACCGACGTGATTAATTCTTTATGCGTTTATTATAGTGGGTCAACTCATTTGCTTTCATTTTCACCTATCATCTCTCACTGGTGTCACATCCGTGTATACCTACTGATAGTGCAGGTGGGGTTTGGAGTATCATTCCATTAATATCCATCAAGAAAAAATATAAGGAGCATACTTTTTCCAATTATTACACCGATATCTACTTTCAAACTAACTCGCTCTCACATTACGAATGCGATCTGCCAGCTTTCAATAAACAATAATTTTAAATGCAAGTACTCGACTTACACGACCTTATATGGTAGAGGATATCCGATGGACAGAATATGATGCGATTCATTGAAAACAAATGACGAATCGATTAAAATACTCGTACATGGGTATAAGTACATACAGTAATTTAAATTATTGCAGAATTTAAATCGATTTATACAATTTTTAGGTAAGGTGCTTACTGGGTAATTTTTCAGGCCAATTTTTATACATAAATTACAATAAAAAACTGCTATTTAAATTTGATATAACAATATTATAGTAGGATTAACTTAATTAGTATTAGTATTAATTAGTAGGATATAGTAGGATTTCAAAATATATTACCAAAATTAGTTGACGATTGATATCATCTAAAATACAGTCACATTCTAAACATACTTTTTCAACGTTTAAAAATAATTTTTAATAATAGTGACTCATCAATGATTGTTGTTTATTAAATATGTTTGCATTAAGTAAATATTTGTTCAGGTTTTAAGAACATAGGCCATATTGTCTCGTTGGAATGAGTCATTAAATTCTTGTTTTAATTATTCTGCAACTTTTCCATACATATCTAGAAAATTTTGAACAGACATTGTTTTGAATAAGTTTTAAAGGGAATATTCGCCAGATAAACTCTAGGAAATATTTCAAACTACAAGTAGTTTTTGCTTCGCAATAAGCAATTTTTTCCTCCACGAAAAAATTAAGGCATGTGAAGATAATCAAAAGTAAGGTATTTTTTTTGATGGGTGAAAATGGTATGGTAACCCCGCCTGCGCTATACGCTGATACGGGATACGCTGGCGGAGCACCAGTGAAGGGTGATAGATGAGAATGAAAACAGGTTAGTTAGCCTATCATGATGAATTCACCAGGAATCAAAATTAAGGTTATAAAAAAAAAAAATTAACAAATCAGTTTAGATATAGATTAGTCACAAAAATCAGAGACCTTTTTTATTTTAGAAGTTGCTTGCTTTGAATAGTACAAAGATCTGTTATACTCGTGAACGAGTGCTTCCAGTAAAACTGGTTTGTTTAAGAATACTGTGGTTAATTGTGGTTTTTTTTTTTAATATTTAATTTGTGACAGTTATCTTATTCATTCACATTGTTTTAGTAAACTCGACTTTTATTTCAGAAAAGCATCACTTGAGTTTCTTGTCCGTTCTCAGCTGAAACTCATTTCGAACTGAGCGATGTATTCATAAAAAAAATCATATTAAAAAATTATTATAATCAAGTTTACTTGAATAAAAATATTTTTATTTTTATTTCTTGGAACAAGAGTATAAAACAATTTCGCTGTCCGTGCCCAACTTTTTTTTCGCTGTCTTCTTCTAAATCGTGCAACGGATTTTAAAACTGGTTTCTTTGCCATTTAGATATTTTTCTTTATTTGAAGGCTTGTATATACAATTTAAAACAGTGCGAACACAAGATCAGTCGTTAATAAAAATTTAATAGGCAACTATTATCAATTCGCAGGCAAGTTTTCTGTTTTTCTATTAACAATTGTCAACTACATAATCTATAGAATTTAATTTAGAAAAACCTGTTATTGGCCATACTTTTATTTGTAAAGCGCTGTTGGTTTTTTTTAAATAAATAAAAAATAATAAGTACCTTAGACAAGTATAAAAAAAAACATGTTTTCAAAGAGTCAACCTTATTTTTGAAGCCACTAAAATATTTTCCGTTGACTGATTAGGTAAGCAATTATATTTTTAAGTTTAAACTGTTATTATGAACGATACATAATTAAAAATGGTTTTAATTATAGTTTATTTTTTAAATTTTTATTGAATTGTTTACGTGAATTTCTTTGTGTAAATTAAGAAGGATTAAGAGTGCCCTTATTTTTGTTTACGCTCAGAATTAGTTTTTTAATAGTTCAGGACTTTCAAGTTCTTATTAAAATCAATAAATATGCTTAAGACTATAATCAATGTAGGGGTAGTCAGAGGCGCTCACTTTTTTGTAATTATTTTATAATCCAGCGCGGAAGGGGACGAGATATTTGCTGTTATTGATTTAATTTATTCGCTTATTCAAGACCTGTTCTGATGACAAGCAGCCTTAGGTAGTAGTTTTTTTTTTTAAATGGATGATAATTGGAATGGTAACCCCACCCGCGCTATCGGTATACACTGGCATACCGCGCTGTCGGTATATACCAGTGAAGAATGATAGGTGAGGATGAAGCAGGTCAGTTAGCCCATCGTGACGAATTCAACAAGAATTGTTTACGATGGTTTCCAGGGGGAATCACGTGGAGGTCGACCTAATAAGGTATATTGCTAGCAATGGGGCTGTTAAACTCCATTGCTAACAATCCTTTTCCCCCTTTAGTTAGTAGTTAGGTAGGTTTTGGTGCGCATCCCTTGACCATTAAGTTCTCTAAGTCGCCTCTTACAACACCCACGGGAAAGGAAGGGGTGGCCTATTCTATACCGGGACCACACGGCGACACTAATAATACTGTGCACCGCAAACAATAATAAATGAGTTATTCATAACATTGTCAATAGGCATGACAAAACATACGCTCATCGAAAATAAATAGCCACGTGTCAAAATGCCGGTTACTGAACCTGCTACTTAGTAGGTAAATAGGTGATACGCATAATTATTGCTGACTATGTGCCGAGTGGAACGATGTACTATGTTGTTTTTATTTAGATAATTACTAGTTTTCACCGGTGACTTTGTCCGCGTGATCAGGATATATTGTTTGATTGGTCGTAAAATGAAAGAAGCATACGTCTAGTCTTCTTTCTGCTAAAGATAAGGTAAAGGTAAAACATTTTTTTTACAAACTTAGTAAATGCATATACATTTTTAAAATGTCGGCAGCACACCTGCAATGCCGTTGGTGTTGTGGGTGATCATAGACGGCGGTAGTCACTTACCATCAGTTGAGTCGCACGCTCGTTTAACCATTGTGTTGTTAAAAAAATTTATATAGTGTATCTGTTAACACAAAATATGTAACTCCTACTTTGTAATAGTAGTTTACTCAGAGCTGGGAAAAATATTAAAATATAATATAAAAATATATTTATTTAGCTTTATTAAAATACAAATTACAAAATACCATTTCAAGTGTATTTAAAATACAAAATAGTATTAAGTCTTATGTTTGAGATATAAAGTACAAAATACAGTATTTTAACAATTTTTATTTAAAATACAAATTATGAAATACAATAAGGTAATGCAAATAGAATAGTACTAATCAAGCACAGCTTATTAATCAGTAAAAGACAATTTTCCTTTCTTGAACATGATATTTTATCTATAACAGCTATCTAGCACTATTTTCCGCAGAACGCATTCATTAATAAGATCGCTAAATGAAGGCCAAACGTATTTAGGTTAAAGTGTATTTTGAAGCTATAAGTAGGTATTTTAAATAAAAACTACAAACAACCTCAGCGTCAGGTATTTGAAATATTAATTACTAATTACATTTTTAGGGAGTTATTGTAAATAAATCTAAATACCAAATATGTATTTGAATTACAAGTAAATCAAAAACTGCCCAGTCATAGGTTCAATGTATAGAACACTCAATAAATCTATAAATCATTCAAAACATCTTTATTCATATAAAGTTACAGACAAACATCTGTTACAGATTTTTATGATATTTTATTTTACAATTATTATAATTACTATTAAAAATATTAATTAAATTAATTAATAGTCATTAAAAGTAGAATAAGAAGAGAAATAGAAAAATTATACACTTCACAAGAATACACTGTTCAAATTAATTATGTCATTTAAACAGTGAATTTCTTGATATTATGCTTTAATTATAATTTAAAGTTTTAATACAGAGAGTCCTCTTTATATATCTTTTTTTCTTTCATTTAAATTTAGAACCTCATCTGGAAATTTATTATAAAAACGTATAGAATATCTTAGTATATTTTTCTATTTACTAGTCGTCCAATGGATAGGTACGTACGTCTTTAGTAATAGTCCAATTGCCGAATTTGTCTTCAATTATCATGTAGATCATCGTTCGAGACATACCAAAGCTAAGACCACTGGTTATTCATTACACTGTGACATTATTAGAATTCTTA